TTAAAATAATTTTTAAATTTTTTTATAAATTAATAATATAAAAAATATAAATATATTTAATATTTATTTTTAATTAATATTTTATATATTTTTAAAATAATAAAAAAATATAAAAATCAAATATTAAAGTATCAAAAACTGTTATTAATTAAAGTCTTAACCTACCACCAAAAACTAGTGAAAAAAATAAAAAAAATTATTAAACAATTTAAATCATGCAATTTGAAAGGATCTCTACTAAAGACTCTTTCAATTCTTTAATAATTGGTATTTTATCGTCTATTATAATTTATATTATAAAACAAGATATTAAAAAAAAGTACGAAATGGGAAAAATATCCCAACCAGACACGCAGAAGCGCATATCAACATCTAAGGTGACAGACGAAGATTGGGAGCGTAATTAATTTTTAATAGACAAAAAATGGTTGTAATAGAAAAAGATTAGAGGTAAAAAAAGGTAATAGACAAAGACTAGAAGCCTAATTTTTTAAGTCAGGAATTACAAATGAACCTATTCTATTTTTTTTAATTAAATAAAGTATAATTTATGTACAGAACTATAATTTATTTAATTATTGATAAAAATAAATTTTTTAATATTAAGAGCTCATTGCTCTATTAATAATTAAAAATATGATTTAAATTGCACTACAATAATTTTTTTATATAGGATTTTTTTTTAATATGAGAAAAATGCTGCCGTTCACTTATTGGCTGATTCTTAAACGGTGCGACAATTATAATGAATCATTCGTCAAAAAATTTTGACAAAAAGTTTTTTGCGCGTGGCACCAGTGCATACCGGGCTGATGGTGCAGGCTTTGGTCTCTTGGTCTGTTGGTAAGTCACAGGACCCACTAGTTCAAGCTGCAAGGAACACCACTAAAATACGCCTTAGAATAAGGAAAACGTGTGGCAGATGAATTGGAAAATATGCAGAGAAAATAACAGGTACACGCATCAAGCTTTATATGGATGTGGGCTATGGCATTGCAAGTTTTAAGAAGAGGGATATGGGTGTGTTTGGATTTTTTGGGATCAAATTAGAACCAGTGTTTTTAAGGGCATCCACATGGACTAGTAGAGGTCCCCCACCACTGGTACATAGAGGGCCTTGCAGTTGCAGACTGTTCCGTGGCAATTGTCCTGACACCTGAGTTAAAGAGGTGTACCACGGTTGTACCTCCACCAGGATAAATAATAACATGGTAGTAGTGGTTATTTGTAAGATTGGAATCCCTATCTGCCTACATTTATAATTCCCAGCATTGAGGATGGGTGAAAGAGAAAATTGAGGAAGAAAGTACAAAATATGGAACATATATTGTTTTTATAATAAAAAAACATTTTATAAGTCAAATTATATATTAAAATATAAATTAATTTCTAAATTTATTAAAATATTTTTTTAAAATTATTTTTTATATAATTTTATTAATAATAATTTAATAATTTAGTAAATGAGTACTCAAATTATATTTTTAATGTATAATTTAAATTATAAAACATAATTATTTTTTAAATTAATATATAAGGTGTGTTTGGGTTAAATATTAACTTTTTTGAGAATTTTTTTAAACAAATTATTGATTAAAGTATTGTATAAAAAATTAAAAATATTATATAAAAAATTATTCAATTTTGTAACAAAACTTTATTAAAATTTTATAAAATTATTAATTTTATTATATTTAATAAAAATTAATATAACACATATTTAAAAAAGTTGTTAGCTACATTTTATAAATAAAAAGTTGTAAAACACTTTTCTTTAGAAAAATTAAAAAATTTTATGAATTAAAATTTATTTTTAAAACATTAAAAATTAAAAAAGTAATATTATCCTTTGTTAATTATAATTTTAGAGCATATAAATTTTAAAAATGCCTTTACAAAATTCTAAAGCGAGATGCTTACGAGGAGAGTTTTCCAAACACACCCATAGAATAGCATTATGTTCATCAAGCAAACAGGAAGTACATCACGTTAAGAGCAGTTACAGCCTTAGAAGAAATCAAAACAAATTAACTCTTTAATTGGTCAGCGCTCAATCAAATATGAATAAGACTGGTTAGAAGAGGTCAATCAGATCACCTAACGACATGGCACTTCCCCTAGGAATTGAGATCAAAGGATTGGGATTCTTTATTCAAGTTTTTTGACCCTAATCTCCTGAACAAATTAACGGCTGCCGCCGGGACCGAACCGGAAATATGAACCGCAGGATAGTCCATTTCAATCCGTCGTTCTTTCAACGGCCTCGTTGCGTCGGCAGAAACCGCCTCTTCCTCCTCTAGTCTCCGCCGACTCGCTGATGCCGAGCCGTACTTCCGCCGAGAAGACGAATAGTCGAGAACGTCCGATGGCATCAACGACAGCAAATCCTAACCATTCCATTCATGTGAATCATGGTTAACTTTTAATTTAATATGGAAAAAACAGGAAAAAACAGAGAGGTTTTTAAGCAGATGAAGCAAAAATCGAAGAAAATAACCAACCTGAGTCCGAAGATCTGTAGAACTTTCTCGCGTTCTTTTCAAAGAAAATGTGTTAACAGTTTCAGAGACCTCTTTTGCACAGCCAGATTCTGCGCTACTTGAAGAAGACGAAGCCGGCAGACGCGTATTTTCTTCCGAGGACCACGGCACCACTTGATTATCTCCATCCTCCTCCTCCTCCTCCTCCTCCTCGTCCATATCGCCGTCATCCTCAATCGATTCATCATCACTGGTATAAACATCATCATCCTCATTTTCGGCCTCGCTCTCAGCTCCCTCGCCACCGCTAACGCAGCTCTGGCACAGCGAAACAGTCCGGCCAAGCTTTGTCCCGGCGGCTCTCCAGGGTGTCAGAGATTGGCACGTTTGGCAGAGGAGACACCTCACATGTCTCGCCACTAGAAAGTTGGCTCCGTGCACTTTAGCATCGCAGTCCCAACACAAGCTCGCCTGATCCGATTCACAGAACGTCCTCGCCGGAAACTTGCAGAGCTCGCAGGCTTTCATTTTTTATTTGGCTTTCCGGAGAATTTTCTATCTTCTGCGAGTGCAGGATGGACGGGGTAGAGAAAAAAAAGGGCACAAGTTGCAGCGGTTTATAGTAACAGCCCTAGCTTTGATTTAAATTACGGAATCACCTTATATAAGTTGAAGTGCGAAACAACCAACTAATATACTAATTTATTTACTCCGAACTTATTAAGTGGTTGTGGTTCTTTTATCGATAAAAAAAAAAAACAAAAAACAAAATAAAAGTTGTGGTTCTTTTATTATATGACTTTTATTTAATAAAAAATTATTAAACAATTTAAATTATTATTCTCTCTTTAATTTTAATAATTTTAGTTTCATTTTTTAATTTTTTAAATATAAATTTTAGCTAAAAATTTAAAAATTTATGTAAATAATAATTGATTTTTTTATACCTAATTTTTATTTAGTATTTTTATTTGATAAAAAATTTTAATTATAATTTGTACAATATATTAAATTTTTATTTAGGTTAAACCTTAAATTTGCCTCCAAATAGGGATAAGGATAAATTTACTCTTAAAAAATAATAAAAACAATTTACCCCCTTCATATTATTGATTAAAATAAATTATTTATTATTTAACTTATAATGTCATTACACATTAGGAATCTATTTGTCATCTAAACCTATTTTTAACTAATTAACATATAATAACATCACATATTAAATAATAAATGATTTATCTTAATTAATAATTTAGAGAGCAATTTGTCTTTTTTTTCAGAGCGGATCTATCCCTATATAGGAATGGCAATGAGCTCCCACAAGAGCAAGGACCTCTTCCTCATCCTAGTCCCCTCATTGGTAGATACAAGAATCCATGCAAGAATTCTTTTACAAAGGATAAAAAATACCCTCTACTCTCATTCTTGTAGGGAATGAAGGGTTTTTGTGCCTATGGGGACTCCTTGTGAAAAAATATATATATATATATATATTTAGTTATATATAAAAATACTTTGATTCATTTCATTTTTAACCTAGAAAAAAAATATTCCAAAAGCATTTTAGAAAAATTAATTATTTCTAAGTATTTTTTTAGAAAATGAATAGAATAGAATAAGCTTTACCTAACAAAAAAAAAAAGAGTAAACTAAATGCAAATTAAAAGAAACCCATTAAATAAAGAGGTGAAATTGGGAGAAACTAAGGTAGTAGAGAAGAGAGTTGCGGGAGTCAAAGTATTTATGATTAGGATTTGTGGGTTTAAGAATTGAAATATTTAAGTTTATTATAGTTTATACAAATATAATTTATAATTTTTTATTAATTTATAGTTCTCTACTAGGACCCTCAAGGTGAGAGAAATTTCCCGTGAATTTTTATGAGAAAAAAATCACCTCCATTCCAATCTTGTGAGGAGAAATATTCCAAACATTTTTATCCCCACAGTAGGGATCCCATGGAGCTTCATGAATCAAGAAATTTCCATCCCTATCCCTATTATCTTATTTGGGGTTAATTTAAGAGTTTTTCCTTTCATCTAAAATTCATTTCAAAAAGTTAAAAAGTGAAATTATGACTATAAAAATTGAATGGAGGTAATAAACAAAGGCTAAACTATAGAGATTGAGGGAGGGTCTTACATTTAAGGATTTTTCTAAACTATTCACTTGTGGTATAGGTTAAGAGTATAATTAATTTTGATAACATTAATTGATATTAAAAATAACAAAAGTTGACATTAATTTTATTATCAATATCTTGTAGATCATTTTAATTAGACAATTGATTAAATAAATGCCAATTTTTATTTTTCAATAATAATTAATAAAAAAGGTATTGTTTAGAACACAGATTATAAAAACTCCTTGCATTTCAAACTATAAAACAACAATTTTTTTTACTTAAGAGTACAAGTTAAAGGGATAATTAATGTACTAATTTACAATAAATTTATATCAAAATGTGTAAATGTTGACTTTTAATTATTTATTAATTAAAATCATTCATGTATCAATAATATTAAAATAAATATCAACTTTTATTATTTTTATATAAATTATCACAAAATATTTATTGCATTTTTATAGCATAAATTAAATAAACTCATAAAATTTTTTTGTCAAACTTATGTCTTAAAGATGCATTAATTATATTTTTTTACATTTAATTTTAGTAGGAAATCACAAATTTTAACTTTATTTTTGTCATAAATATTACATACATATTTTTAATTAAATAACTAATAAAATTAAAATAATTTTTAAATTTTTTTATAAATTAAT